GGAAGCCTTCGTGCCGCAGCCAATGGCGCCATCGGATCCGAGAGGAAGGAGAGATCTTCTCGGGAACGGCGGTCGCAGGATAGTCCGTACACGACCACTCCGATCAGCGAGGATGGTGGTTTCTTCGGTGGAAAATTGGCAGATGTTCGCACGGATCCGGTTTCTTCGCCCGCGGGAACACCTTCGGTGGCTGCTGTCGTCGCTGGCCAGAAGACAGCAGTGCAGGGTCCAGAAAGGCGCAAGACCCCGATGCTTGTGCTATCTAGCGCCGAAAAGCGCAAGACCCCGATCATGTAACGCGAACATCGTACATAATGTGACTGAGACGTAACGGATGTGCACACTTGGATGATTACTTTTTGCGCCTTTTTTTTTCTTGTCTTTTCTTCAACACCCTACCTTTACTCTTTTGTTGTACTTGGACAGTGGGCCAGAGCTTCTGTCCTGTTCAAAATGGATACTCTCATGTGATAGTCGAAATTGTCTGTAATGTTGCTTTTCCTATGTGTTTAGACACATAAGCGGCCTGCGCCAGCATCAGCCTTGGACGATGATGTTTTTTTTTATTACCTTCCTTTCTTTCTCAGATCATTTTATTCTCCGACCTCCGTTTAGGTTCATATCCACTCCTTACCGCTGCCAAATGCGCTGATGAACACGGGAAATCCAATTTACGTTATGTAATGGATTTCGTGACCTGGGTGCTCCTGTTACTGCAACAGGTTTCTTTTGATCGGACTGAGTCGATCATCTTGGGCCCAGAGCGATTCCATGTTGCATTCTTTCGGTGTACATCATCTGGCCATGTATGTACAAGCGTTAGTTATATTAGTTTTCAATACTGAGCAGCATCAGTACAACTAAGGAGAACGGCCGGTCGAGTTTCGTAGATATTGTATCATCTCGAGGATTTTGATAAGTCAATGGCGTGCGTTTGGGTTGTATCCAAAAGCAGGATCTAGCCCGACCAGCCTGATGTTGTCGAAACAGACGCCATCCTTGAAGGCTGCATAGGTCTGCGACTCTGCATGACTTGCATGAGCAGCAATTTAAATTCTTCTAAGGGGCGGCTCAGGCCGATTGGCATCAAAGCTCTTCTCCACCACCAGTCATTGATTGGCCCCTCGACCGTACGTTACAGTTTCGAGTCTGTACACCAAGTGTTATAGTAGCATGGGAATGGCACGCTATCGTGCTATTCACAATAGCACGCAATTTTCTTTCAATATGAGGATTTCCTCAACGAGAAATTTGAATGACAAGGGGAGAGGTATAAAGCATGCTATATTGATCATGGCTTCAAACGAGCTTCTTGTTCGGACTGCCTCTCTTCAGTGTGACGAACTTTGACCGAGACTACACAACGCCATGGCCGAACAACCATCATCGCGTTCAGTTTCTCCCACCGATATACCGGTAGAAGATAAGGAGAAGCGAGTATGGTATCACTCAACGCTCTTCAATGCCTTCATTATCGGCGGAGTGGGCTTTATGGCGCCCGGCCTGTGGAATGCAATGAATTCCTTGGGTGCTGGTGGCGCGCAGTCGCCGTTTCTGATTAATGCTGCCAACGCATTGGTTTTTGGTCTTAGTATGCTGCCCCATTGATGATTTGTGATCGGGTGTTGTATTGGCTTGCGGTGCTGATCTCTGCGGGTTCCTATAGTGGGCTTTTTGTGTCTCTTCGGCGGTCCGATTGCGAACCGCATTGGGTTGAATTGGACCCTGCTTTTGGGTGCCGTTGGGTATCCGATTTACTCGTATGTATATTCTCATCCGTTTCTATTTGAGAGTTATTGGATTTGAACTAACGAGCGATGGTATAGGGCCGCATTGTATACGAATAACCGCTATGTACGTGCCGGACCAGGTGTGTTCGTGGCGGAACGCTAATTACAAGTGTAGGGCAATGTGTGGTTTGTGCTTCTTGGATCAGTAGCATGTGGTTTGTCGTAAGTATGAGATGTCCGATCAACAGCTGTCCACTTCCTTACGCAACAACCAGGGCGGGTCTTTTCTGGGCTTCTGAGGGTGCTGTGGCACTAGGATATCCGGAGCCAACAAAACGGGGCAGATATATGAAGTGAGTCGATCTAGGGGTGGCAATTTGGCTCAATGGAAATATCATTGACAATAAACAGTATCTGGCTTTGGTTTCGTACCGGTGGACCTTTGCTGGGCGGCGCAATCGTCCTCGGGCTCAACCAGTAAGTTTCTTGGAAGATAAGGATATGTTGAGATGTTCTGCTCATTCAGTTATAGTTCTGCCGAAGCGAAAAGCAAAGGAAAGGTTGGCTCGCGTAAGTCTAGCTGAGCCTACATTTCCCCTGTGAGGATGATTGCTAATCGCCTATACAGAGACCTATCTTATCTTCGTCGCGTTACAGTGCCTCGCCGTTCCCCTGGCGATATTTCTCTCGCCACCTGAGAAGGTGCAGCGTAGCGATGGGAGTAAAGTGAGGATTGTTCTGCAGGACTCATGGCGTGCGGAGATGCGGGAGCTTTGGAAGCTTTCTTGTCGGAAAGAAGTCAGTCACTGTTCTCACTTTTCATTGATAGTTTGGCTGACGCCAGCTCAGGTTCTTCTGTTATTGCCGATCTTCTGGGCGGCGTACTTTAACCAATACAGTGGAAGTATGGTTTTGCAAGTCACCTATATCTAAACATGGAAACACTAATAGTTTCTTGCATAGACTTTACGACCTATTACTTCGGCGTCAGAGCCCGTGCCTTGATTGGCTTTGTCAGTATGTCTTTCACAGCCTGGGTATATAAGCTCCAAGTCCGAGCCCTGTCTAACATCAGCCAGGCAACTTCGCAAGGCTATTATCCTCTGGAATGATAAGTCGTTTCCTTGACTACAGAGGAATCTCGACCAAGAACCGGGTCACATACAGGTATGACCGTCCACCACGAAGCATCGACCGACACCAGGGGGTTATAACTAACCAGGACTCCAGCTTCTTCTATGTCGTCCTCGTACACATCGCCACCTGGGTCTACGCCTGGGTAGTACAAGAGAAGTACACCGCGAACCCACCCTCCTACGACTGGTCCGACAAGGGCTTCACCGAGGGACTCTTCGTCATTCTTCTCTGGGGTCAGTATTCCCTTTCGAAATCGTTTTATCTTCCCCCCCCCCAGACACACCTCGCTAACCCATAACACATTCAGAATTCTCCCAACAAGCACTCCAAAACTGGCTCTACTACCTCGTCTCCTCGATGACGGACAACATCTCCGAACTGGGTATGTGTACCCTCCCAGGACCAACATGAAATCCAACCACTAACAATAACCATCCAGCCCGGTACTCTGGTGTCCTCCGTGGACAGGAAAGTTTCTCCCAGGCCGTCTCATACGGCATCAACACGAGGAACTGGTACGGCGGGCGAGTTCCGCTCGCTGTGAATACTATTCTGCTTGGTATGTGTCTCTCTTCCCATTTCTTCACATGTTCTTTGGGATCCAGCCACAGGGAAGACTAACCCGAACACTAATCTAGGTCTCGCGGTGTTCCCGACCTGGTTGGTTGTTAGGCAATTTGCTCCGGTTGAACATGATAAGTACGCCATAGGCCAAGATGAGGAACAGGGTCCTGCACCACATGGTGTTGGTACGGACTATGGCGACAAGAATGTAGTGAGGGAAACAGTTCAGGCGAAATAATGGCTCCGCTTATTACTCAGTGATACCCATCGATGATGTATGATCTTGAAAAATGACAAGGCTAGTTGTAGCTTGTCCAAGCAGTACTATAATGAACGAATGAAAGTGGTGACATGACACACTACCCGTGGATTTCACAACTGAAACCAAAAGTAAATCTCTGATAAAGCTACAGAGCGCTCTGTGGGAGAGAATATCAACATCACTAGGGTAGTGATACGTGGTATTCCTCAGATTGCCTACACTGTGCGGGCCGGCAATATTATACAGAAACTCAACGCCCCCGCCCGGTATTCAGCAGGGAATCAATCCCAGTTCTAAAATAATAAAAAAAGAAATGTCAGACAGAGAAAGAGACCTAAGGACCAAAAAAGAAATCTTGTGACTCCGATACGGGGAATCGAACCCCGAGCTGCCGCGGAACTTGCTTTCATTTAATGAAAGGCGGCGATGTTAGCCGTTACACCATATCGGATTTGATGAAGATATTACTCTTTCTTTGCATATAAAAGCCAAAGACATGATCCTGGCTATATTGACGAGCCCTAAATATTCGCTTCAATGACTAAATGTTACATTTCTCCTGCGGTGTTTTGAGCAGAGATGCAGTGCTGGGGTATTTTTGTAGGCGTATGTAATATACTCAGGTCATTGGGGCTTCTGGAGGATGAAATTTGATGGGTTTAGGAGGTGTGTTGTTTGGAGAGCTGTTCGTTTTGTAGCTATATATAATCATGTGAAGGTATCATGTTGCTAGGAACACCAGCCGAGAGGTGGGCCAACAAATTCAAGATACATTCACAGCTACAAGATGCCACCATAACTATGATGCCCAGAAACTCTCGCAGCCTCACCGCAAAGGGCTACTGGCTGGACAGCAGGCTATCATAGCAGGTCTACTAGTCGTAACCCGCAGCCCTAAGTACAATCCGATGGGAGCCTACATAGGACAGTTAAACACCACAACTAAGTCTGAACCTGACAATCATAAGATATAACTCCATATGGCCACGAAAGTAGTGAGAGTGACGACGGTTATTGCTTCGTCTCGCTGGTAAGAGTGAGAGGAAAATATGGAGTGATTTATACTCCCTTATTGTTAGACCGGTTCTGTCTCGCGGGGCCTTGGTCGGAGGAACTGGCCGATCACTTCCACCCGACCGCGCCACGATACCCATATCTGAGAAACTACCCCAATCTGGATGAAAAGGCGAGAAGTATTGGAAAGATCGTCGTCAATCCAGTGGGAAAGTAAATGGGCACCTTCTCCCTATTGCCTATAGGTTCTTTTATCGTCTCCTCACAATCACGCCATTTCGATATAATAGAGGTCATTCAAATGGCCAATGACGCTCGTACTCAGCCCTTTCCTCGTCAGTTTCAGCCAAGTGCTCCAATATCTGATCTTCGATTTCGTGGAGGGCAGCTTTGCAATCATCATATCGCTCGTGCTCGATAAAGCCTTTGTCCGGCCACAGATCGCCCATCCTCCCCTTGACCTCCGCAACAAGCTCGGTTCCTGCTACAGCACCATCGCTATCCAGTTTGATATGCTCGAAATCTGCCTCCGAAAAGTCGAACGGAAACGGGATGTCGCTGGTGACGGCAGGTAAGTCCGCCCACGTGTCCTTAAGGTCGACCAGAAGCGATTGGAAGTGTGCCTCGCCGTATTCGAACATTCGGTGGGCAAGAAATATCAGCCCGTATGCAGCCGTCTTTCGGAATTCGACTACTCGATATAGATCTGGGTTTTTGACATGCATGAGTTTCCGCCATCCAATGAACACGTTTTGGATGGTATACTCATGCACAGCCGCGGACCGTTCTTCCGGTGAAAGCCCGGAGAGTTTCGGCCGTGGGGCCAGATTGAGCGTCTCAGGCTCAAGACCATCCCAGTCGAGGAAGGCTGGATCGGGATTGTGGTTGAAGAGGGGCGAGATGTGACAAGACTGCCAGTCGATGATACCCGTAATCTGTTCGGGGTTATGCGGGTCTACGAAGACATTGTCATCATGCAAATCATTATGTCAGAGGTAGGGGCTGGTGATGGCTGTATCCTTTGGGATAAGGACATCGACAATTTGTCGGTACCATACTAAAGCAGTAGTTTTCTTTTCCATGCCTGGTCGGTAGAGCTTTGGGCCACAGAATAAGGCAATCTGTTTCGGAGGTTTTAAAGACTGGATTGCCTTCATCTCTCGCGTCCCGACTGCTTGCAGATACTGCATTAGAGAAGCCCCTGTAAATTTATCAGCGGCTGCATGACGATGATACAAATTATGACGTACATGGCCCTTTCTCGACGTCCAAAATTGATCTGCCTGCATCAAACCAATCCCGGCCGGTAGTCGGGCCAATAGCGAACTCCGACTGACGGTCTTACCATCTTTGACGTAGTAGTTGCCTGTGGGTGGCTGCATATCTCTCGTGTAGTACAAGCTGCCGTAATGCTAGAATGAGACGCTCAGCCACTGCTTCTGGAGACGTGTCAAGGCAAGAAGCACTTGAAGCTTCTGGGGTAATGTCATCGTGCTCCAGACTTGTGACAGCGGAACACCTTCAATTTTCTCCATGATGATAAATTCAGCCCCAATAGGGTGCGATCTTGCTTGCGAGTTCCATGCGTATACGCGAGGCGCTGGTGTATCAAGAATTTTTCTGGCCTCCCAAATCAACCTTGTTAGCAAGACTTGGTGTCGATGGAGTTGAGGATGAACTTACGAAGTCCATCGTGGCGACTTCACTGGCAGTTGTAAAGTGTGGAACGCCAGCAGTTGGGTTAGGCACCTTGGCTATGACTTCCCGGCCATTGTCCATAGACATGAGGAATGCTTTATTGAACATGCCGTCGGGGTACTTCTTGATGGAAATACATCGAGCGGCTCCGACTGAGTCTGCTGCGACACTTGCGAGCCTATTCATGTCGAATCTGATCTCTCGCTTTCGAAGATTCTCGACCTCATCTATAATGAAGCGGCCACGCGTGAATTGGAAGAATTCACGTTTGAATTCCAGTCTGATGCAGATGAGTATTATGTTAAACCGCGCCCAAATTGGCGTGCTTACCAACCTGAGAAGAGTCCATGCCCATGCTCGTGGGACTGTGATCGTAGGATAACGTTGGAGCTTTAGAGATTGAGCGGCAGTGTTGCTTTTGGTTTGGTATTATACTCTGAATGCAGCGCCAGAGACGCGCGGATGGAGGTCGGCACATATTTCATGAAATGTGACAATAGTTTTGATCACACCTACCCCCCAGAAAATCAGGTAGCATTCGATCACGCAAACATCAGATTGTTGAGAAAAGCAAAGGGGTAAGAATACGATCAATTCGGGGAATGCTGCTTTGCTACGCAAACCGAGAGATGATGGAAGATTAGATAGTGGTCGTAACGGTAAGGACTGGTCTAGAAGTGATGAAGCTGAGGTGTAAACGGAGGTGACGATGGAATGGCCACGGTTTGGTGTGGTAACTCAGATATCGTGGTCTTTCTATCTGGTGATTTTGGCTTACTGTTGACGCTAAGCTGTTCTGGTGTTAATGGATGGGTCCTAGTGCTTGAATAAAGATGATGATTGGCTAGATAATCTTAAGTAAGTTATTCTAGGAACAGAACTATGAGCCTGGAGTGCTTCAGGTCCAATCAATCATATTTGTTTAACATTTCATAACCTCCATCACACCCTTACTACAGTACTGATCTGAAAGCCGAATGCCAATGGTTGTAGATCAGTATGACAATATCTAGCCTTACTTTTGTCTATTGTACATTAACAGAAAATGACCATGATACCGTCAATTGACAATCACCCTTATGCACATCTATTATGACTACTCTCGTATTTCTATATTGACTACCTTATTATTACTATATATCTATAGCATAAAAGATAAAGTTTTTAGAGAAGAACTGCTTCGAAGAAGGGAAACCCTATTCGATTCCACCCCCTATAGTAGGCATTACCTCTCCGAATTCGTAGGCTCCATCTAACCCCAATCACCGCTACCCCAAATTGGGATCAACAGCCTTATAGTAGGATGTGAGATGATTGACGAAGCATTCCACCTGTTCGCTGAGGCATAACCAAAAGATAATCAGGTACATCCGTTGGCGCGGTTGCTCAAACAAACATCACCTCCCTGGGCAAAGCCACCGTGGCCCTGGCAAGAGGCACTAGATCTGTGCTCTGTACTGACCTTGCTGTTGCAGGAAGTCCATGTAGTAGGGAAGAAAGAAGCTTGAACATGGTAGGTGGACCAGCTGATGCAGCAGTTTGATTTTCCCCGGGACTCGCAGCGGCTGCGAGGAGCCTTTCCGATATCAAGATAAAAGCGACACGTCGTTCCAGATAGACAAGACAGAATATTAGCACATTTCGGCCAGTTTATAGCGTGTCGCGAACTCAGAGTGTATCTAGGGTCAGCGCTTTTCTCGATGGCAGTAGAGTTGCCTCCCAAGGCGGCTAACAGATCGTGAACATCTTCGACCATGCCTGGGTCATTTGCGTCGAACTTCTGGGCGTAGGCTGCCTCGGTTAGAAGGACAGCCTTTTCCTCGTCGGTGTTTCCCGAGCTGGGGTCCAGAGAAGCGAGCCAGGAGCGAGTCTCAGCCTCGTAGCCGACGTATTCAACATCTACGTCGAAGGGGCTCAGATCGCCCTCGAACTCAGGAAAAATATCAGAAGCACGGTGTGTGACGATAATGCTTGTAGGGCTTGTAGAAACGATCGGACTTGCTAAAGTGCTCGGAATCCATGCAAAACCAAGGAGACTAACAAGGATAGCTTTTTGCATTTTGGTGAGAATCCGCAAATGAAAAGTGACGCGAGAAAGCTTTTGGCCCAATGGAATTCCGATTGTCGAAAAGGCAATTGTTAATCAAAATGAGATGTGAGGGTTTTCTTCTACGAGGTGGGTATCTTCGATTCTTATGAACTTCTCTGATTCCTCCTCGATGAAAGTTTTCGATAAATGCATGCGCCTATTCCCAAAATAAAAACCCCACCTCCCTGCTAATGCATCGAGAAATGTACCTGGAAAGCCAGCCTTGTCCAGCCGATTTGAGTCCAGCCACACTTGTCCGAGACGCCAAGTGTCCCTAATTTTGAGCCTACTGTATGATGCTGGCCGTAATCACGATTAGCGCGAGGATCCTAGTTAGAGATACAACTCAACGATGCAACGTCGTCTTCACTTCCACCGATGGCTCTAAGATAAGACTATGTAGTTCAATTGAGCGAGGCGACCTATTTCGTGCTCACCATAGTTAATGGTAAGTCTTTGCATGTCTCCAAGCTGGCTCGAGCTCCGATGAGGGTTCTAAAGAAATGGGTTCGTCGTCAAAGAGAGTCCTAGTGGGGAACTTTGGAATCCGCTATCCACTACTCCGTAGAGATCTTGGGTTGGTGTATCATCGCTTCTAAGTCAGACATGGATCGGGCCGTGCAATCTACCTGTCCGTTGGAGTCTTAGTATTACCGTGGCATTAGCTTGGCATTAGCTTGATCCTTTTGACCTTGCTAAGTTGGTCATAGTCTCATCGGGGATGCGCGATTTTTGTGATGGGCTCCGAGTCATGAAGTAGAAAGCAAAGAAAGAACTGGAACTGGCTGTTGATGTGACGCAAGATAAATCATCCCAGACTGAAGTCCACTGAATTGTGAGATTCGAATTGGTCTTTCTTTGAGCAAAATAGTGGTTACATGAATCTTGAGGGCTGGTGTTTGTGAAAGGACTTTATAGGAACCAGCATTTCAAGTTTTACCGTGTATTCGAAGCGGTTTGCGAAAAAAAGTCGGATCGTAGGATATCATTATAAGTACCGGCTAGTACTGAAGAGCGAACCATGAGGCAATTGACCATATATTCTTACAGTCGTCTAGTATAAGTTCATACTACGTTAATAGAATATATTAATGATATCGATAATGTATTGTATCATGCTTGTGTATATCTATCCAGCACGGTCTATCGGATTCATTACTATACATCTGTTGTATAGAAGGATGGAGTTTTGTAGAGAAAGAGTGCCTCTTAAGAAATTAATCTTACAATAAGATGACTATTTCTCTTACTATTCCTTGACTACTCGGGCCAAAATCTATTCCATTTACCAGAAAGAAGAAAATAACGTGGTTGAAATCACTAAAGACCACGAGATTTTTATATAACAATGCTATGAGTTCGACGCTGGGAGTAAGTCTATATAAGGGCATTAGTGGAACCAGGTCGTATTTGATGATACCAAAGATAGGAAGGTTTTGTCAACAACATCCGATATGGTGTAACGGCTAACATCGCCGCCTTTCATAAAATGAAAGCAAGTTCCGCGGCAGCTCGGGGTTCGATTCCCCGTATCGGAGTCAAATTTCTTTTTTGTCCTTTATCATTGCTTTTGATATACGGAGTATACAGATGCACGTCCAATAATACATTTACCATCCGTCCTTTTCTATTCTGACATCCATTAATTCAACACCACTTCCTTCTTCCCATCCCGTCGCCAATCCGGGGCTGTTCCAGTCTCGGCATACCAGCCACGCATACTACCTATTCCAATAACTCGACTTGGGTGTGTCACAATTAGTTAGTATCTATTCGCACAGCGACCCATTGGCAGGAAGCTGGGGCTGGATGCTGGGTTGGACTAGCTATAGTACAACAATGAGGTGCTTTCTGCCATCTAGATATCACTGCTTTATATTGTATCTACCCTCTTTCTGAGAAGTCATACTATGTATTTCTTTGCAGGTGCATCGAACGAGAGATTACCATTTATAGCAAAAGTCCTGTCTTTTATCCATACTATAGTGCTAGCATTTGCTCGTCAGATTATTCTTAAATAGAGCGACAGGGGGCCCTCTACTATACCTTGTTGCGACGGCTGCATTGACTGCTTCCTTACTTATGTTATGGGCAGGCTGTCCCTTCTTCCGTCAAAGAGGACATGCCGAATCATGGGCCCTTCGTTAATAACATATACAGCTTCTTTAGTAAAATTGTTAGCAATGATATGCCTTTTCCGTGACCCTAAAGGACATATATGATGTCACGGACCCCCGAGAATAAAAGACAAAGGTAGGGGACTTAATCTTTTTAATTGATTGTCTAGATCACATAGTTTGCCTACACTTACGGGCCATCTTAGTCTCTATATCACAGTGCTCGCGTTCTCGTAGGGCTATTTTCGCCTTCAAATTTCAATGTGCAAGAACAGAAGTGAAGCAGGTTCTTTCCTTCTTGGGTATTGTCTTCGCTTGTAATTAACCCGTCAAGGGTTATCAGCTTTTATTCCCATTTCTCTAAGAGCGTACTAAATGAGTATTCATGTATCGACTTCTTGTGATCCTCTTCATCAGTTTGCTATAGTGCAGCGCATGGCTTAAAAACTAGGGGTTTACATTGAAGACTTAGCCGAGGATGAGTCCTTGTCCGATAGGGGACCACGGCCAGTTGCTAAGAACTTAACCTAGCGACCAACAGCCGCTATCGTCAATATTTGTATCGACTAACGCAACCTACTATACTACTATAAGGAACACCAAATCATGCAACTGACCCCAAATATTGATAAAGTCAGGTGACTATAGAGAGCACAGACCACTTCGGTTTTGCCCTAGGCCCCGCAAGTTGTATTGCTTTCTTTTTAATGTAGAAGTTTTCATACAAGAAAAATGACTTCGGGTTGTCATGATGCAGAAGGCCTCCATGGGATACTATCTAGCCCGGGTGGCCCTGAGGAAAAGACTCAGGGGGAGGCCTCGGGCAATGCCATCTTAACTCACACACCATCTAGAGCTAGCGAGGTCGTGTATTCTGCATTTTCAAAAGCGCAGAAGAGATATATTGTCTTTTGTACATCCTGGGCTGGTTTCTTTTCTCCGGTCTCTTCACAGATCTACTACCCAGCCTTAAACACTCT